ACTTCAGGGACAGAAATCCATGAGATGAAGAGGTAAGCAGAAGGGGCTGTAATTTCTATCATGTTTGGCCATAAGGCTACAACAGTGAGAGCAGAATTTGTTTAGTGCACAGTTGGCCTCTGCGGTTTAGGGCAGATATTCCTGTTAAAGCTTTTCTAGGGCTGAAGCAATCACAGGATGAACATTCTCAGTGCTGAGAAAGACAGTCCAGTTGGATTCGCTTTGGTGGAACCTCAGTTTTATGCAATGGTCTGGTTAATCCTGGGCAAAACAGAGGACTGAGGGCAGGACCTCCCCATTCAGTGAGCAGGTATGACCACGGGTAAGAGTAAACCAGAGAAGTAAGCCAGGGAGGACGTAACCCAGTTTGTGTCATAAGAACAGCTATACCATAACAATTGAGAGGCAGTGGCAATGGGAGTTTCCCAAGCCTCAAATGCAGGCTGCATGTGTGAGGCTTTCTCTACTTCAGCCATCCTGGGAAGAAGAAGCTGCTGTTCAGAGGTTACACACATCTGATGGTTCCAGATCCCCACCTGGGGACAGGCAATTAGCTTTTGCTTCTCACCAAAGAAGGAAATGTCTCTCCCTCTTCTGAGAAAAGCCTGAAAATGTAACTTATCACCCTGAAAAACTAAGCCTGCTATGGAAAAGGAACTGCATCTCTTGTTTAGATTTCATACAACCCTACAGTTCTTAGCATATGGCATTTATGACAGAGCAGAGCTTTGTATTGTATGCAGCCATGTGAATGGACTGTAGGTCTACAGTGGCCTCAGAGAAAAGCCATGGACAGCACGGGCTCTTCCTGCGGGAAGGTGACATTTTCCCATGCCAAGTGAGAGAACCTCCGGGCTTGAGGAGAGTAACGAGGACAGAGGGAGACCTTAAAACCAGCGGTCCTCTGACCTTCCTTTCAAGAAAATACTCGAGGGTGTTTCTTAAGGAACTAGGGGGTTTGCTCCCAGCACTTTAAAACCAAGAGGAGCACAGCACTAAGGCTGAATTGCTGCAGTTTAGTGAGTTGCAGTTACACAATCAGAAAAGCAAGCCCCAAACCTGAGAAACCTCCGTGAGGACCTTCAGGCAGGAAGCTGTCAGCAAAATGGCATTTGGCTCTCTTTCAAAAGCTGAGGGTTTTCTAAGCCTCTGGCCTGTGCACCTTTGTACAGCGAGGTGTGCGCGCCCAGGAGGGAGAGGTGCTCCTCTTGTCACTCTCGGTTCGCTCCCACACATGCGCACAGATCTGCGGCTGGTGATCTCAGGTCTGCGTGCAGGCAGGACAGCAGCTCCACAGCCTGTTACTGAGCAACAAATCCAGCCCAGCCTCAGAAAACAAGATTAACTCCTGTAAAAGGTGATTCACCTGCACACAGGATCAGCTGCCTGCTCCCCAGCCCAGCTCACACAGCTATTCATGAAGCAGTTCCTGATCATCTTACCTGCACTTTCAGTGGTCGGTAAGTCCTGACTTCTTTCTGTCACTGATGATGGTCGTCTCAGTTTGATCCTGTAGCATGGGAAGTAGCCCAGTAGTTCTTACTGACCTAGAGAACAAGCTGTTGCCTGAGGTTGTTCAAAAGCTCTCTTCTGCCTTGCTCTCTCCTTTTAATATCTTCAAAGCACTGTTGGTGTGGTCCGTATTTTAAGGATTAATAGGGAGAAGAAAAGATTCCTTAACTTCAAAGTGTTTGCCACTGATGTTACAACCCAAATCCTGCAGGAGTAAAGGGTATTCACCGACTTTGGGGGTTTTGGATCAATCTCCCTCAGTCTTAAGCAGAGACATAAACGAATACAAGAAGAGGCCAAATTTTAAGAGAGATACAAACAATGTATCCCTAAAAGCCATTTAATCCTACTCCACATGTGGCAAACTCCAGGCGAACCAAGGATAAACTTGCTGTTTTCAAATGCCAGCTTTACAGCAAGAAGCCTTACAATTCATCTGCTCTTGTGTTGGTGATCTTGTACTGGAGGGAAGGCACCTTACGAAACTTCTGAGGGACTTTCACGCTGGGGAATATCCTGGGGTTTCCCTGCCAAGCACTTGGCTGTGCTTGTGTTACACTGCTTTGCATAACTGTGTTTTAGTATGGATAAATGTGGGAAGACAATGAGGGCATTGGTGACTCAGTTTTCATGGAGCTCAGACAGGGAAACCCACCTGCTTTGGACCGACTGCCTTGCCAGGAAGCCTGGGCTGAGCCTTCCATGAGCAGAGGCAAGGGCTGAACTGCAGATGAGGTCAGGACGAAAGCCGGACTAGACTGCAACCCATTTCAGTGTTGCTTTCCTGCCCAAATGCCAGGCACAGGACTGAGAACAGGGTCTATGATGCTCAGCCTAATTCTCTCCTCCTTTAGGGAGGCAGCTGGAGGGGAAGCATGGAGGGAGGATCCAGCAACTGGTGGGCTTTAGTCCCTGCTCTACCACAACTGCTCCATGTGATCTTGTCCAAGTCACCTCCATTCAGGACCTCAGTCCTCCCATCTGTAAAATGATGCTACTTTTACTTACTTATCATACCACTTTTTCACGGGGGGACTCACTGATTTGGAGTGTCCATTTACCAGCACCACAATGGGAATGTTCATCTTCAGCAAGGGCAAGCTGAAGCCCAGGTGTGTTCAAGGTGTTGATCGATACTGCAAACCAAGAGCTGAGTAATGTCCAAAGTATCTCCCTTTGAGGATGCGTATGCAATTCGAATCTAAACCGCTTATAAATTCTGAAGGTTATTCTGCAAGTTAGATGGTCTTGAGAATCAGCCTTGAGAAACTTCTGCACTGTGCATTCTCCTGACAGGAGAGAGCCATAAGTCTCCAGGACACTCTTCCACGGCGCCTGCTCAGAGCCGCTTTGCTGCAGGTGGATCATGGGGTATTCTGCTCTACAGAGGCAGCTCAGACCAGGGG